GGAAACCTCAGACTTGGGGCTGGGGCTGGGGAGCTTTCCTGCCCACTGACCCAGGAGGCCCTGGCCTCGGTGTCCACCTCCAAAGGTCGGGGGAGATAGATGGGTGGGGATGGCTGTGGGGGTGAGGTCCACTCCTGGGCAGGCTCAGATGCGGGTGGGTGGACTGCCTCTCAGGACAGACACAGGCTGGTGTACACAGCACCGTACCCGGGGCTCCCACCCGCTGCTCCTTTCTCACTCCTGCCTCGAAGCCAGCTCTGCCCAGAGGTGGGGAGAAATGGCCCAGTGCCCGGCTTCCCACTGCAGCCTGGCCTGCAGACCTCGGGCACGCAGCGCCCTCTCTCCAGGGGTGAGGAGTCGGAGAGCAATTAGCTTAATTGGCCTGGAGGGCCTAAGAGTGGAAGGCGCCAGGAAGGGACTGTGCAGAGGGAGGGAGGCCAGGCCATGCAGGGAGGGCTCTGGCCGCTGCCAGGCTTCCAGAGCACTGTGTTCTGTCCAGCACCGCACACAGGCTGCAGGACACAGGCCGGACCAGGAGGCACCCGGCCAGCAGCGTGAGCAGAAGCCTCTCCCTCAGGCCTAGGTCTTGGGGATGATGGGCCCTGCCACCCAGCCTCTGCCTGCAGGTGGACAGTTCCCCATCCCCATTCCACAGACTGGGTTGCTGAGGTCCAATAGGTGAAGGCCATGCCCAGGTTCACTCAGCCATGGTAATGGTAGGCCAGTGCTTGGGGTCCAGGGACCAAGGGCAGTTCCACCCCAAGTGCAGGAGCCAAGGCCAGGCCAACTAGGCCATCAGCTGCAGGGCCCTGCCTGTCTCAGAGCCACACTGCCCACTTCTCAGGCCAGAGGAGCCCTTTCATCCAGCATCGGGACGTCAGGACCCAGCCGGCAGCAGGTGGCTGGTCTAGAATGATTTGAGGCAAGTTTGCTTCAAGACTATTTACAGAAGTGTCCAGAGGGCAGGTGGGGGGATCACCAGGGACAGCCCAGGAGCCTGGAGCTGGTGGCAATGAAGATGTGCCCAGAACCAGTGATGGAGGGAGTCAGAGCAGGGCCGCATCAGAGGAGGCCAGGCCTCCCTGGGTCCAGGATGGAGCTAGCCTGAGACGGCCTCCCCAGTCAGGGAACAAGCACCCCAGCTCATGCTTCCCTCCAGCCCCAGGAAGCCGGAGAGCATGGAGTCCAGATTCAGCCTCTCAGAACAGGGACAGGGTGAGAGGTGGACAGAAGCCTGCTGGGCAGAGGCCAGATGCAGGCAGTCTCCTGGAGCACAGGGCCCAGCCTCCCTCACTGACCTCCTTGCGCCACACCTGAGCTGGTTCCAGATCTCTGTTCATGGCCCGGTCCCCCTGCCAGGATGAACACCACCCTCCCGGGAGCTCGCTGCCTGCCAGCCACCGTGCTGCCACCCAGGAGCAGCCCCACCAGACCAGAGCCTCCTCCTGGACACAGACTGCCCCAGCCCCCTTCCTGCCACTCAGGGTCTCTGTGAATGCTGCCAGAACCACACTCAGTTTTCAAGTTGAGCTCGTGGCAGACCACCGTGGTCAGTGCCCCTCGTCTGCCCCAACAGGCCTGGGTCCGCCCAGGGGACAGCAGGGGTGTGGTCTGAAGGACCAGGCAGCAGGTGCTAGCGAATGTGACCCTCTCCTGGGACTAATCCAGGCCCGAGTGCCACCTTCACTGACTGCTGTGGGGTCAACACTCCCGTGACATCTGCTTCGGGCTGGGAAGGTGGGGTCACTGACCTGGAGCGGCAGGAGACGCTCCCAGGTGGCTCCAGGGAGCTGGAACGTGCCCTCACCAACCCATCCCCTTCCTCCCCAGCCTCCTGGGGACACAGGCAGAGAGTGCATGCAGCAGGTCAGTCCTGTGGGCCTCAGGGCTCTGGGCTCACCTGCTCTGTGAGCCTGGCCAGGCACTTTAGCGCCTCAGTAGAACTGGTGGTGGCGGGCTGGGCGGGGACTCAGTGGCAGAGCGCTTGCACAGCATGAGTGAGGCACTGCATTCAATCCTCAGCACCACACGAAAATTAACAAATAAAAAAGGAATTCTGTCCATCTCCGACAACAAAAAAATGGTGATTGCGATCCCTCCCACGAGGGGAACGGGGTGGACAAACATGAGACCAAGAGGCAGAGGGCAGCACAGGGCAGGCCAGCGCAGCGGGGTTCCGGAGAGACCTGCTCAGTCTGAATCCCCCACCCCAGGGTGTTGGCCGACCTCCCGGCCACAGGGCAGGAGCAGGGGGACTCGGCCCTGAGCCTCCTGTTCCTGCCTGCAGAGCAGAGTGACACCCAGCCTGCCTTACTGGCGTGCTGCGGGGACTCAGTGAGATGGCGTGTAGAGCTCAGTCAGTGACCGTGTCCACAGGAGCGTCCCTCTTTCATCCACGGGGACGTGTTTGTCACGTTCCTGCTGCACAGCACACTGCCTGGTGCCTCTGTCCTGGCAGGTCCCTGGGACTGTGCTCCTCAGCTCTGGGCTCAGCCCTGCAGGGACACCACAGTAGGCTTGATTGGCAGCTATCACACAGTCCCAAATGCCATCCAGGGAGGGGCCCTGGGGGGAGAGAGGGATGGGTGGGCGCCCATCCTTCCTCTGGCCTTGGAGGAGGGGAGCGGGGGAGAGGGTAAGTTAGTGAAGGCGCTAATCAAATATTCATCAGTGAATCGATCTCCCCGTGTCTGCCAAGGCCCACTGGCAGGCCTACGCCCTCCCGGCCCTGCGCCCTCCACGCTCCCTGCTTCCTGTCCACCCTTTGGCCTTGCCCCTCCCCCTGGGCCATCCCAGGTGCTGCGTCCTCTCCCACTGCACTGGACACTCCCTTGCCCCCACCTCCCTGTCCTAGGTCCCCACTTCCCAGGCTGGACGCCCGTGTGCCAGCCAGCAGTGGGTGGCGTGGCCTCCCGGCCACTTTGTAGCAGTAGGCAGGACCCTCCGGGCGCGGGCGTTGAGTACGTGCCTGTGCCCGGCTGTCCTTCCCGCAGAGGGCCGGTGCTGCCCCGGTTCCCAGTGTCTGTGCAGGGAGGGAGGGCCCAGGTGGCTTTGCTATGGAGAAAGAAGGGGAGAGGATTTCTGGCTGAAGCCCTCGCTTGGTGTGTCCTAGGGTGATAGGGAGGGGACAGCCGCCACTGCAGGGCCCAGCAGAGGTGACTGTGGGCACTGTGGGGAGCAGGGCAGGGCCGACTGTCCACCCTGCCCCCTCCCAGCTGGTGACCAGGCAGACGTGGGTGGGCCAGCACTGGGGAGCAGGGCCCAGCCGGGCCCTGGCCTCGTTCACCAGGGCCCCAGTGGCAGCCAGGCTCCTGGGGGTGCTCGGTACTGTCATAGCTAATCTGGCATCAGGGCAGCTGTGGTGCGAGTTCCCTTCCTGCTGGACGAGCTGAGCCCGATCCAGCTCTGACACACCCCCGATGCTGGAGAATCAGTGTGGGGGGACGAGTAGTCACCTAGCGAGGGACGTGACGGAGAACAAGGCCCGGCCACTCTCTGCGGAACACCCGTCCTGAGGTGAAGACAGACGAGACATTAAAGCACGTAGGGTGGGCCTGGGGGGACACGAGGCACATGAGGGGTCCCCCTTGGCAGGCGAAGGCACTTGGCCTGCCACCCTGAGGCTGTGGTGAAGAGCCAGGCCCAGGGACCCTGCAGACGTGCAGGGGAGCAAGGAGAAGAGCCTTCCACGGGGAGCCCAGCCCTGCCAGCACCCAGTGGGTGCGCACTGACCTCAGCATAATGAGGGACGCTGTGGTCGCC